TCCAGGACAAGGACTCGCAGTTTTATCGCTTGGCCGAGCTGGAGCCCAGCCCCGAGCGGGGGGGGGGTCCCCGGGACCCCGAGGAGCTGCAGGAGGCCCTGGGGGTCCTGGCCCAGCTGGGCCCCGACGCTCTGCTGGCCACGGCCCTGCGCAAGCCGTGAGTCGGGGGGCGAGGCTGGGGGGCGAGGCTGGGGGGCGAGGCTGGGGGCTCCTGGGACCTCCTGGGCTCCTCCTGGGACCTTCTGGGCTCCTTCTGGGCTCATTCTTGGTGTTCTGGGCTCATTCTGGATCTCCTGGGCTCCTCTGGGGGCTCCTCTGGGACCTCCTGGGGGCTCCTCTGGGACCTCCTGGGCTCCTTCTTGAACCTTCTGGGCTCCTTCTTGAACCTCCTGGGCTCCTTCTTGAACCTTCTGGGCTCCTCTGGGGGCTCCTGGGACCTCCTGGGCTCCTTCTGGGACCTTCTGGGCTTTTTTTTTTTAACCTCCTGGGCTCCTTCTTGGTGTTCCGGGCTCATTCTGGACCTTCTGGGCTCCTCTGGGGGCTCCTGGGCTTTTTTTTGGACCTTCTGGGCTCCTTTTGGACTTTCTGGGCTCCTTCTGGGCTCATTCTTGGTGTTCTGGGCTCCTCTGGGACCTCCTGGGCTCCTCCTGGGACCTCCTGGGCTCCTCTGGGACCTTCTGAGCTTTTCTTGGACCTTCTGGGCTCCTCCTGGGTTCATTCTTGGTGTTCTGGGCTCATTCTGGACCTTCTGGGCTCAGCTGGGACCTCCTGGGCTCTTTCTGGACCTTCTGGGCAATTTTTTTAACCTTCTGGACCTTCTGGGCTTTTCTTGGACATTCTGGATTTTTTTAGACCTTCGGGGCTTTTTGTTTTTAACCTCCTGGGCTCTTTCTGGACCTTCTGAGTTTTTCTTGGACCTTCTGGGCTCACTCTTGGTGTTCTGGGATCTTTTTTGGACCTTCTGGAGTATTTGAGGTGTTCTGGGCTCACTCTTGGTGTTCTGGGCTCTTTTTTTCTGGGCTCATTCGGAATGTTCTGGACTCTTTTTGGACCCCCCCAGGCCTGCCCAGCGCACCCAGGACGAGCTGGAGCTGATCTTTGAGGAGCTGCTGCACATCAAGGCCGTGGCTCACCTCTCCAACTCGGTGTGTGCCCCCCCAAAATCCTGGGGGACAGGGGTGTCCCCAAAATCCTGGGGGACAGGGGTGTCCCCAAAATCCTGAATCCCATCACATCCTGTCCCCAAAATCCTGGGGGACAGGGGTGTCCCCAAAATCCTGGGGGACAGGGGTGTCCCCAAATCCTGGGGGACAGGGGTGTCCCCAAAATCCCGAATCCCATCACATCCTGTCCCCAAAATCCTGGGGGACAGGGGTGTCCCCAAAATCCTGGGGGACAGGGGTGTCCCCAAATCCTGAATCCCATCACATCCTGTCCCCAAATCCTCCCCTGTCCCCAAATCCCGAATCCCGTCCCGTCCTGTCCCCAAATCCTGCGGGGTCCGGGTGTCCCCCTGTCCCCAAATCCTGTCCTGTCCCCAAATCCTGAATCCCATCACATCCTGTCCCCAAATCCTGCAGGGTCGGGGTGTCCCCCTGTCCCCAAATCCTCTCCTGTCCCCAAATCCTCCCCTGTCCCCAAATCCTATGGGACAGGGGTGTCCCCAAATCCTGCAGGGTCGGGGTGTCCCCTGTCCCCAAATCCTCCCCTGTCCCCAAATCCTGAATCCCATCACATCCTGTCCCCAAATCCTGCAGGACTGGGGTGTCCCATGTCCCCAAATCCTCCCCTGTCCCCAAATCCTCCCCTGTCCCCAAATCCTGCGGGTGTCCCCTGTCCCCAAATCCTGAATCCCATTCCTGTCCCCAAGTCCTTCCCTGTCCCCAAATCCGGGGGAACCGGGGTGTCCCCAAATCTTGAATCCCGTCCCGTCCTGTCCCCAAATCCTGCGGGTGTCCCCTTGTCCCCAAATCCTCCTGATCCCATCACGTCCCGTCCAGAGCTGTCCCAGGGGAGGTGACAGAGCTGTCCCTGTCCCCTGTCCCCTGTCCCGGGGAGGTGACAGAGCTGTCCCTGTCCCGGGGAGGTCACAGAGCTGTCCCCTGTCCCCTGTCCCTGTCCCCTGTCCCTGTCCCCGGAGGTGACAGAGCTGTCCCTGTCCCCGTCCCTGTCCCTGTCCCTGTCCCTGTCCCCTGTCCCCGTCCCTGCCTGTCCCCTGTCCCTGTCCCCGTGGCTGTCGCAGGTGAAGCGGGAGCTGGCCGCCGTGCTCATGTTCGAGGGTCACCAACGCGCGGGCA